CTTGTGGACTTTTGATTTGTCAAATGTTATAAAATCTTGATGAAAACTGTGCATGTTAAAATCTTAACTTCTTCTTTACACGAATAAAGAAAAACACAAAGCAACAATAGTTGAAATTCACATTTATAATAGATACTTACCTTAATGCTTTCAATTTTCAATCCAACATCTTTGATTATAGGAAGTGAAAATTTAACTCCAGATGGGCTAAAATACACAAAAATGTCTGGTGTTCCCTAGAACATGAAAGGAAGAAAATGTCACATTGGTTGATGTACAGATTTGAACATTTTTTTAAGCTTCATAGTATCATTACAATTATTTAAAAAACTCACTGTTATTTACTGTTTACATACAGTATCATGCAAGATTCATAAAGTCTCTAAAATTCAACATTTATCATCCTTTAAAAAAATATATTTAAAGTACTGAAATTTTTCTACATGGGCAATTAAAAGCTGTGAACTTCAAAATCTTGTAGATGCTTAAATTGTCCAAAAAAAAAAATCTTATTTCACCAGTGATATTAAAGAACATAAAAGTATATATATATATTTTAAATTTAAATAAACATTTAATTCACTAGACCCTGCTTATAAACATCAGCTACAACTGAATGATGGTTTATTATTATTTAAACAAGAATGAAAACATTTTGTTTAAAGAAGTATGAAAAATGTAAATTCACCTTCTAACAACAGACAGAATTGATAAACTGATACACTATGGCACCTGGTGGGAACTTATGAGAAAAAAAAGTTTAAACTCAATGCAAACTAAGTCAGGTGTGGTCAGGTATTTACTGAATATTCTCTGGCAAACTAAGGTAATTCAGTTCTGTCAAGGAAATGATTTTTACTTACCCTAAAAACCAAGTAAAAGAGGGTTAACTTTGACTAAGTAAGTATTGAATTTCATTCACTAATCTTTATTTGATATTACTTAGCATTGGTAGAATTCCTAATAAGAAAAGGATAAAATTAAGTCTAATGTCTTCGGTTAATTTTTATGTTCTGTTTCCTAGAAAAAAAACAAAACAAATCTAACTCTTCTCTCGCTTATCTGAAACTCAAATACAATGTTCAGTTATTTTTGTAACATTCATCAGTTTGTGATATTCGATTATTATTACAAATACATGGATGTTTACAAGTACGTATTTCACGTAAGGTCCGTGGATCTCAACAGCAAATGACTGGCATTTTCTTTGTTTTTCATTAAGTTTGGTTTTATCATATCTTCTTGGTTATTATGTTTGTAATAACACTTAAATAACTGTTGGAATTATCATTACAATTTTAAAGATTTAGTTTCTTTATTTTGTGTAAATATACTCGAGGACTATCTGTGCTGGCCATCCATAACTTAGAAGATATAAACCGGAGGAAAGGCAGCTAATCAACACCGCCAACTCTTGAGCTACTCTTTACCAATGAATAGTGGGATTGACTGTCATATTATAACATCTCGATGACTGAAAGGATGAGCACATTCACTAACAGGATTTGAACTTGTGACCTGTAAGATGACTGCTCTAACCACCGGGCCCCAGTCTTAAAGATAATTTTGCACTTTTAGCCTGGTGTCTGAATGTAAAAATTACCCACATCTCCTAAGATGGCTGAACCTTATGCAATATTATAATAATTATAGCTTAAAATACTGCTGAGAGCAAAGATACCCAACTGTGGATTCAAAGAAATCTAATCATTATATATTTTGTTTTTTTTTGTTATCCACTTATAATGAATTAACATCATCCGTACATCTGATATTTTAAACGACCTAATTTCCATAATGAAGAAGTTCTTGAATGAACTCATGAATACAGGAAAATTGTCTCTGCAAAAATAATAAACGATTTGCTACAAAATTCTGTCACCTTTTCAAAAAATAATTTCTCAATGTTCTTTAGAAGGTCTGGATGACAAATGGACTGGTAAGATACAATCTCTTCAACACGGATATCTATATGTATAAAAAAAAACTATAAGGAAGTTTCCTTTTCAAATGAAAAACAAATAAAGAAATGTGGAGCTTCAGGGTGGATTAGTAATAAATTTTTAACTTTTCTGTTTTCTAATTATATAATACTAAGTACAAAATTATACAGTTTCAAATTATTTTATTATAACAAAAACAAAACTTCAATATAGAAATATTTTATGAATAAAATATTTTGGTTAAGCCTACTTTTTAGCTAAATGAGCTCAACATCAATGCTTTAAAATCAGGTTTTGTATTGTAACATCAGGAAACTAAGTAGCAAATGCCATCTCAAAAACTTCATATAATATGCACATATATTAAATAAAAAATACAATTATATTTACCTTAACCTCAAATAAAGATATCAATCTGAACCAGTTTCTTCAAACCTTCAATAATATTTTGATTTTAATTGAACATATTGTCAAAATCAATGAGTTTAAAGCCTATATGTAGAACAGATCGAAAAAACTTTTAAACACAAGCAACATGAAGAATAGGTACATTGAAAAAAGTTGTTCTGTGGTTTTAATGAAGACACATTATTTTAAACAAATAAACTGTGTCCCTTTTAATGACTAATATTAAAACTAGTGAACGATTTAAAATTGAAGTAATATTCAAATATGAAAGTCAGACCCCACTTATTAATGTTTCATAAATAACAAAAAATTATACTGATTTTAACAACCAGGACAAAGAAAAAATTATAAATCAACCATCTTAGTAGCTTTGATGAAGCTGAACACAAACATTCCATAAACAATATTTCAAGCAAACAAAATTAGAGTGCAAACAACAGAGAGAAGGATGCATGTTGGCAGAGATGAAAGTAAAAGTAAGACCCACAAAATGGTGGGGATGCAGTCTAAGATTTGATGTATATTAGATGCTCTTTGCCTTTCTTATGGCCTTAAGTTAACTACAAATTGTAGGACTTGAAGATTTGTTTTATTACCCAAGGAAAAATAAATTTGTCTCCAGAAAACAAAAATACAAATTCATGTGTGCGTATTATATACAAGCAACATCAGTCATTGGAAAAAAACACTATTAAAATGTCATTGTTCTGGCTATGGCCATGCTGGTTTATGAATCATAGTAGCATGTGATTTCAATGGGAATAACACAGTTGTTGTGCTGACAACGTGTTCTTGATTGGTAAACAAACTTTGACATCCCTAAATACAAAAGCACTGAAGTTAAGGTAGTTTCAGCATGATACAGCTACTATTTGTAGAGGATTTCTATTTTGTTTAGAAACCTAGATCTAATTAAACAAATAACAGTAAGTGAGCATTAAAACTTCTTTAATAAGTTTTAGTTCAGTTTGAAATTTATCGATAATTTGTGACAGTTTATAAGCATGGTATCACAAGAACTTGTAAAAAATTTTCTTGGTACTTAAATGGCAAAAAACTGTTTACGGTACATCATTCATTGGCTTAAAATTAACTAACTGGATAATGTATTTAACAAAACCAAAAAAGCTTAATTAATGTGGGAAATTAGGCCATTAGTAACAAACAGTTTAAGAAACAGGCCTAGTTACTGCTACAAGTTAAACATGCCTTAATACATTATTAATAGAATACTGTTTAGAAGTTTTGATACATTTGTTCCCCTTTATTTAATTCTAACAACTACTTTTGCAAACTACTTAATCTTAGTATAATAATCTTATGTTTAGAACTATTACAAGTATAAACATGGAGATCGAGAATATCTGTATATTCTTCTATCCCTAATCTATCAACAGTTTCTGAATATCAGCAAATCCAATCATTTATTAAGGGCAAGCCATACTTTAATGCTAAGCTATCCTTTTATAGAAGAAATGTATGGCTTTATTATTATAACTCACAGAATTTTTGACCATTCCTAATAATCATTTATTTTTTCATTTTTCAGCATGATATAGACTTGGGGTTAAGCCTGATGAAGGGTGGTTGTTTGCTATAGACTTGAGTTAAGCCTGATGAAAGGCAGTTGCTTGCTATAGACTTCAGGTTAAGCCTGATAAACGGAAGTTGCTTGCTATAGAATTCAAGTTAAGCCTGATGAAGGGTGGTTGCTTGAAAAGCTGATGAATATTGATAAACTGAAATAAATAAATTATAGCAAGTGTATGATCTAGCAGGCAATTTCATTATTATGAATTTTCTACTCGTATGTATTATTGTAGAAGTCTCGTACCAGCTCTAAACATTGCATTGTAAGTTTGTAAAGTGAGAGCTGTATTCTAAAAATATTGTAAAGTATTCATGTACAAACAAAACAATATTGTAAAACCATCGTCAGACTTGTTATACTTTGTCATGCAACTACCCTTCATCAAGCTTAACCTCAAGTCTATAGCAAGCAACCACCCTTCATCAGGCTTAACCTCAAGTCTATAGCAAACAACCACCCTTCATTAGGCTTAACCTCAAGTCTATAGAGTTTGAACTATGATAAATATATGAGTGTAGGTGGACAAATGTCAGAATTTGTTTCTTTTGACCACCAGCAAGAGGTAAGTTAGACTTGTAAATCTGTTTAAATTATCATTTGTTATATAACAGTGCACAGGTCAGTATTTCTTACCAAATAAAAGACAATGTAAGGAAATGTATTTTCGTAATGATGAAGGTGTTAAGGTACTTTAACTCAACGAACCAACAAGTCTTGATTTGAAGATGCAAAAGGTTACAGAAAGAGATGGTAATTACACATTGCAGGTGCTACAGCATGAACATCTTTGAGCCCAAATTATTTACAGATGAGTAAAGGCATGGGTATCTTAACTTCAGGAAACCTAATTTTCCACAGATCACTATAATGGGGAACTGCACGAGAACTGAAAAACCACAGTGTTGTGTAATTTTTATTTATGAGGAGAAACAAGCACATATTCTTAAAGAAAACTTTTAAAGAAAAAATTACATTTTGCTAGATAGAATAATGTACAGATGTTATAACATAAGCTTTAAAGACATGTCATCTGATGCTAGGTAAACCTAGTGAAACACAGGATTTTTAAAAAACTCTTTTAAACATAATTCCTTGTTTATCAATAAATAAAATTATTTTTAGTTTGACAAGTTCTTTCTATAATTTATCGAGGCATTGTGTACTGTTTAGAGAAGTAACGAAACCTCTCCGGAAAGTTATTTTATAGTAGAAAACTTTGATACCTTTTGACTGTAGTCCAGAGGAAATGGTGTCTTTCCTGAGGTTACCACATGGAAACAACAAAGATTTAGGTCCCTCACATGGTATAAGTTCTATTAAAAACAATTATTAAAATGATTCATGAAATGTACAGCTCACAGAAAATCATCTTAGTAAACAACCTTGCTTTAAAATATCATAGAAAATGTATATACAAATCATGTATACCTGAAAGCTCATCACGTGAAAGTGGCCCAAATGAATTCTGACATCAAGAATGCATAACATAAAAAATGAAAAATAAAAACGTCTGTATCTATGCAAAAAATGTACTTAAAACTTAATAAATCACTAACTGGGACGAATATACATATACACGTTTACATATCAGATGTGTTTACATACAACTATTTTAAGCTTACTGCAGAAGTGTTTGGTTGCACTTGAAAGTGAAAAAAAAATATAAAAAAAGGCAGAAGGTATCATTTCAGTTACATGTAAGGTTTAGAGGGAGAAGTTATTTTGCTAAACAATATCCTTTCTACAGGGTTTCTGAAAAGTCTGGAACCATAGGCACTTCAACTAATTTTACAGAATGTGTAAGACATGCTATCCTTGTAATTCAAGACAAGTTTGAATTAACAGCAGGATTAACTCAACCTTCTCATGCTTTGACAGAACCATAATCAGTCATGTATCTGAAACTAAGAAAAGCCAAAAATCACCTATGGTTACAGACTTTTTGGACTTCCTGTATTGGTGGGTAGTTTTCATCTCTTGATCAGAAATAATTATGGAAAAAATACTAACAGTAACTACACTGATTATCTGAGCAAAGATACAAGATTTTAAGTGCTTTCCTACAAATATAAATAACAATTTCAGAATGATATATTTCAAAAGTTTACAATATGGCTAAGGAACTAGAGATTCTGCCTGAGTTTGCACTGATACTAAAGATTCTTAAATTACATTTAGAAAATACTAACATAGAAAATAAAATCCTATATTTTATTCATTTTTCAGTACAATTACTTTTTTCTTCCATTTCCTAATTCTTTAAAACACATTTTTTATGATAAATAGTGGTGAGAATTGTGTACAAAATCATTGATTATTGGTAGCAATGTGACTGTTTATTAAGGTGTCCTATGTCATTGTCGATTTTAATGAATACTATCGAATGTTTTTTTAATTAGTCTGGTTTTCACTGATGTGGGCCTCGACATTTGCTACCATGATAATATGAACTAAATTCCTCTAATTTCGATTTGGTGTTGACATGGTCACTCATTACCCAATTTCAGGCACTCAAGCATATTCAAGAAGGGAATTTTCACTAGGGTTGGGGAAGAGAAGGGTACCCTCAATGTATCGTTTTGTTTTTTATAATCAATCAATAATTGTCTGTCAAAATATCAATCAAATGATTGTTTAGGTTAGAAAAAGACTAATTTGTTATAACATCTGAGACTGAACACACTGCTAATGATGTCCTGGACCCTTTTCAGGGGTTCTTAGGGCAATTTATTAATATTGTTTAGAGTATCTGATTATTATTGGTAAACCGTGATGGGCTTAACTACCTTGCTTTCTATCTATTTATAAAATCTTATAATGTATAACTGGTTCAAAAGAACTGACACAGGTTCGATAAAATGATAATTTTGCATGTTGAAATGTTAGGTCAATATTAAAAACAAAAGGAAAGAGCTTCAAATGTAAAACATCTCCATCTACATTAATGTGTTATCTTCCACAATTCGTAATACCATTTGCTAAATTTCATTGTTGTTTGTCAATCTTTCATGCAAAATAAATTAGCTCTAACTTCCAAACTATAATACATTAAAAATACCAAAGAGTTTCCTTTCAAAGCACCAGGCATTTCCATTAAGATAACTATTTTAGGTTATAGAATAAGAAAGAATACATACGTCTAAGAATCACAGGTACAAGAGCTTCAGCATTTCCCGATTCTTTCCCAATTGTATCAAAGCCAAGACTGGTTTCTAAAATAGTTACAATTAGATTTTATTACAAAGATAGCAATTGTGTCAAAACTCCATCATGACATAATGTTTTTATATTACATTTTAAAATATTGGACTTCATCACAAACCAGTTGGTTTTGAGAACTTTAATGGATTGCAAATGCCTGTTGAAAAAAAAAGAAAAAAAGACATTTTGGCTTCTGTACTGAGCCCTTCTTACTACTCATATTTACTCTGTCTACTCTGCCTAAAGCTCCACTGAAACAACATTTATCATAAATTATTTTGAGGAATTTGTTGAACCGATGTTGATGAACTTTGGAAGAGGAACCCAGGTGGACCTCCAGAGATAGAGTTTAAATAGACAATCAATTAGATGAATGGTTCATGTTTGGCAGCCATTTAAATTTTTTTGAAGCCAACACCAACTGAAAGTGATGTTAAATTCCACACATAGCATGGGTATTTCTGATGAATGGTTCATGCACGATGACCATTTCAATTTGTCTCCCCTCCTACTGCCTACTTCCTGAACAACAGATATCCATAATGAGTGGACTGCATGTCAAATGATGCACATGCATGCTGTCCTGCCATCTTCATGAAGACAATGAAATAAATGAGCTTAATGTGGGTACCTTTACTAGAAGAAAGATCTAACAAAAGTTCAATAAATACTTATATGCTTATTCAATTAAAATTTACCAGAAAAGTCCACAGACTGAAACTTAATCATTCCAGTAAAAGTTTTCCTGCACACATGAAACTGGTTTTAATTTATGATCAATAAATCCAACTCTTTAATTCACAAAGTGACTTTACTGTGTTGGAGTGGATCAAAGATATTGATTTGGGGATGGGGTCAACATTATTTTGGAAGCTTTACAAAGAAGGCTTATAGTTGCAATTAAAATTATATATGACTTTGATTCCCAAGTAGGCATCTAGCCAATACACATTTTTTGCATCACAAAAAAAGAACTGTTCAGGAAACTCAACAAAATTTTATTTAAGTACGTCACTTACTCATAGATGGTACTAGGGAATTTCTGCATTAAACAAGTTATGATAAACTAATCTCTGTTTTGAAAAAAAGTCCAATACTTTTGTTATTTCTCCTTTATGAAAGTCTTTACTTAAATATATTGAGCTAATTAACAAGCAAAGATTAAAAACTTTTGATACAAAGTTTTAGACTGAAAAGTTTAATAATTTTGAAACAATCACACTGAGTGTTGTACTAATTTCAGTATCAAAGGTACAAATACTGATCAAACATTTATATAGGTATCTTTCTGCACATTGAAAGCACTTAAAATTTTCAAGATTTGTATGGACATTTTTTAGGTTTCGATGACAATTCATTCTCTAGGTAGGATCAATGAATCATTTGAACCTTGTCCAGATCCACCACTGATGTATTTCTATTTTATTTAGTTAGTAGTAATTTTGAAAATATGTAATTAAAAGTTCAAGTACCTGTGTAAGGGCCTTAAGTTTAAATTCTAATACAGTTTTGGGTAAAATCAGGAGATCTAACTGAAGTTATTTGGATCATGTTAAATAGGTTTTAATATTAAGAAACAGAATGCCACTTTGTTCTGCCATAAAATTACAAGAGGCAAAACATATGCATGTATTTTTTTAAACATGAAATTAAATAGAAAAATTACATTTAGAAAACTTGAGTTGTTTCAAAGTAGTAGTTTGATTGGAAAAACGTATCTATAAAATTTAAGGTTGAAAACTACAATAAGTTTCCTCCTGTGTGCTTCTAACTAATTGAATGGATTCATTTAGTGCTGATAAAATATTCAGATCCTGCTTGTTGTTTCAATTGATAAACATTTTAAACTTAATGTGGCTTAGTTGATATTTAATTATAGTAAGTTTAAGATAATGCATTTGGATTACAAATTTAATGATAATATAACTGAGGAAAAGAATCTTGGTAGAGTAATAGACAGGCCATTAAGGCAGTACTTTATAACTAATAAAGTATTTATTGACACTTGATTATTTGTCAAAAGAGATTATTATTTCTTTATAAAAACAATAACTAATAACTAGGTCTTACTTCAAATAACGTCTAAAGTTGCAATCTCTTTATAAAAAACAGGATATTGACTTATTGGGTAGGGTTACGAGGAGGGTTACTTTGGATAAAAGGGTTATCTTATGGGGATAAGATAGAATCTTTTAAGTTATTTTCTCTTGAGAAAAGAAGAGCAAGAGGTGATCTACTGAAGTATACCAGGTTTGTTCTGTTTTTAATTTCATGCAAACCTACACAAGGGCTATCTGCACTAGCCATCCCTTATTTAGAAGTGATAGACTAGGGGGAAGGCAGCTTATCAATATCACCCATTGCCAGCTCTTGAGCTACTCTTTTACCAACAAATAGTGGGATTGACCATCACATTAGAACAACCCTAGGTCTGAAAGGGGAAGCATGTTCGATAATGAGGATATGAACCCAAAACCTGCAGATTGCGAGTCAAGCACTCTAACCACCAGACCCAAAGTGTACAGGACTATCTGGGAGCTTGAAGGATAAAGGTCTTCAATTTTCTGTGCTGAATTATGAAAACAATGGGACAAGGGAAAACAAATTTCAGATTTGGTGCAGACAAGTTATACTCCAGTTAAAATAACTTTATTTTTCTAAATGCATGATTAGGTTAGAAAATGAGTTAACATCGGAAGTAGATGTAGAGGCCAACACTTTACAAGAGTTTAAGATTTTTTTTTGGGGGGGGAGGGGAGGGGGAATCAACAAATTCCTGAGAAACAAGTATTGGGATAAATCTTTTTTTATTTATCATTTTATTATGGATAAATATGCAGGGCAAACTTAAATAACCAAGTGGTTCCTTGTTGCCCATATGTTAGGTTATTGTGGAATTCCTAAATAACATCTTTAGTACATTTCTTTTAACACAATACAGGCTGCTTCTCATCCAAAGACAGAATCTCATTGGATTACCTAACTATTTTGAAGTTTTTGAAAACAGCAATAAATAGAATTGAATGCAGCGCTGGTTCAAATTAGATGTCTGTGAAGTCAAAACATTAAGTCTGTAGTTTTGTACGAATTAGAAGCTTAAATTACCAATACTGACAAGCTAGAATATAAAATAAGAGGCCCGGCATGGCCAGGTGGTTAGGACGCTCGACTCGCAATCTGCGGGTCGCGGGTTCGCATCCTCATCCCACCAAACATGCTCGCCCTTTCAGCTGTGGGGGCGTTATAGTGTGATGGTCAATCCCACTATTCGTTGGTAAAAGAGTAGCCCAAGAGTTGGCGGTGGGTGGTGATGACTAGCTGTCTTACACTGCTAAATTAGGGACGGCTAGTGCAGATAGCCCTCGTGTAGCTTTGCGCGAAATTCAAAACAAACAAACAATAAAATAAGAACCTCTTATCTTTTCTATTTGCTAAGATATTGCTGATGTAATAAATCAAACAAAGTGGCACCCCACCCACCTCTTTCCATTTTTGGAAATGCTCCCTTATATACACTTACTTCTATACATGACATGAATAACCAATCAGAAGCTCAGAATGTCCTCCTAGAGGCTTTCTTAGCCATTTTAAAATCTTAGGATGCCATTTCTTTCTTTCAAATCAAGATTTGATAGAAGTAGGTTGTGTCTTTAGTCAGCTCAAAATTTCACATTTTTAGACTGAAATACAGCTTAGTTACTAAGCTTGATAAATTATAGTGGAATTCTATGGTAATTTATGATTTTTTGGTGATCCAAATGTATATATAAAACCTAAATAAAATTATTTTGTTTCATATCCTCCACATGCAAAATTTTAAAA